ATACTTATAACCCCAATTGAGGGACTCATAACCTTACTTACTAAGTCCCATGATCCTTTAAGTATCTTTGGGACTCTATGCGCTCGCGGTAGACGTTGCATTTGGCGCAGGTCGGTGCTTCGGGGAAGCTTGGAGAAGCCTCTAAGTCAGGGTTTAGGGCTTAAGGTTTAGGGTTTAGGGTTTCAGGTTTAGGCTTTAGGGTTTAGGGTTCAAGGTTTAGGGTTTAGGGTTTAGGATTTCGGCCGCTTAATCAATCAGCCTAAATCTGAAACTTCCCAATCAAACGCTGGGCTCTAGCCTTAAAGCGCCCAACCCATATCTTGTAGAGCTTTGGAGTCTTTAGGGATTTCGGGTGTGGGACTTGGGACAGTGATTTCCAAACACTATCCTAACTCTAATCTTGAAGCTGCAACGCTCTACCCTAGCTAAAGCCCCTGAACCCCCTCGACCATAAACCTTCGACCCTAAACCCTAAACCCCTACACCCTCAACCCTAAACTCCTAAACCCGAACCCCTAAAGCTCTGCCAGGTGCGAGGAAGGCACGGACGCCCAGCGAAGAGCAATCAGCTCCTGCAGGAGTGCTGGATTCTTATAGGATCTTTAAGGGAGGGGGTTTAGGGCTTAGGGTTTAGGGTTTAGGGTTTAGGGTTTAGGGTTTAGGGGGTTCTAAGGGGGCTATATAACTGAATGATCCCTGATTCTCCCTAGTGCTCCCTAAGGTTCCCTTGAAAGCCCCCTGAGGATTCCTTGTACCTCCCCCCTAAACCCTAAACCCTAAACCCTAAACCCTAAACCCTAAACCCTAAACCCTAAACCCAACCCTAAACCCTAAACCCTAAACCCTAAACCCTGAACTCTCCCTTAAGGATCCTATAAGATTCTGCAGACGGACCGACTCCGAAGCGCTCAAAAGCCGTTAAGACTTCTAAAGCCCGACAAACTCGAAAACTCGAAACCCCGTTTAGGGTTTAGGGGTTTAGGGTTTAGGGCCAGTTTAGGGTGTTTAGGGCTTAGGGTTTAGGGTGTTTAGGGTTTAGGGTTTAGGGTTTAGGGTTTGGGCTCTTGCGCAAGTCTGACACAATCAAGTAGGCCAGCTCAAACTGTTTAAGGTCTCGGCTGGGCGTTTTTTCCTCTCCAAATCGAGCGCACCTCGCCCGCAACTAGCCGACAACCCCCTAAACCCTAAACCCTAAACTGGCATCCCAGGCACCACAAAGGTCCCCAGTTGATGCAGGCATAGGCATGAGACGCTGCGATTGCATATGTACAAAGGTACATACACACCTACATACATGCATGCATACAGCTCGCAGAATTGCAGGATATACTGTCTCCACCGACTAGCATATCACGCTACGAGAGCTGATAGCCGCTCGCCTGAAGCCAAAGGCCCTTACGGTGCTCTACTCCGGAGCACTGCTACACGAAACTCCAGGTCCTACATGGTCCTACTGCGCGAATACCTCCAGCCCGACGCCAGGAAAGGCCTAAGCCCAAACCCTAAACTTTTAACTCGAAACTCACTGAAGATCCCCTAAAGCCTCAAGACCGTAAACCCTGAAACGTAGAAAGGAGACCCAACAAAAAACCACGCTCCTCTGCTGGAAGCTCTTGGAAAGAGCTGCGAAGCCTCGTTTCGGGGAGAAAAAGACCGAATCTTGCTGAGTTTGAGGGGATCGGACCCTAAACCCTAAACCCCTAAACCCCTCAACCCTAAGCCCTAAAACCTAAACCTTAAACCCTGAACCCTAAGACCCTCCACCCCCAGACCCTGAAGCACAAACGTCTAAACCCTAGAACCCTAAGACCCTACATCCACGAGTGCTGAAGACTTGGGAAGAAACACAGACTGTACACCCATCCCTCTTGCCAGGGCACTTCTGCTGAGAAAGATCGGCCAGACGAAGGGAGCACAAGGCCTGCTCGTTTGCCCAGGGCTTTCGATGATGAGCTGCGGGTCGAAGTTCTCTGATGACAAGAAACCAATGGAACAGAGTCTTGGACTATACGATGCTATGTGGAGACTGAGCCGATACTGCTACTTATGGTGCAGCACCGCTAAACCGTAAACCCCAAACCCTGAACCGTAAACCCTAAAACATTTAGACGGGGCGCAAGGGCGCAGAAGCAGCAGAGCCTTTGCAACGCTCTTTGCGAACAGTAGTAGCAACATCGAACTGACAGGCGAGCTGGCACTCAGTCTCAGCACGGCGGGGCCAAGCAAAGGCGGAGACGACGGGGGGCAGGAGCCGGGGCAGCAGAAGGCGACGACTGAACTGTGGCCGCTGCTCAGCAGGAGGGAGAGTCCACTGGTAGGCAGCAGTACGGCGGGGACGCAGGCATGATGGTGATGATGATGGAGAAGATCATGATGATCACGATGACGGTGGTGATGATGATGGTGATGATGGCGATGATGGTGATGATGGTGATGATGGTGATGATGGTGATGATGGTGATGATGGTGATGATGATGCTGATGATGATGGTGATGGTGATGGTGATGATGATGATGCTGC